CGGCGGCGGCTCCGCTTCTGGACTTCAAAAATCACCAAAAAAAAGCCCCCAGATGGATTCAATCACCCCAAAAAAACCCTCTTCTGCTCTTGGGGACAGACTTTTTATTGTTTCTAACCCTCCTTCCGAGTGCCAAGAGGCCATAAACATTGCGGGGGAAAGGGGGGACAGAGAGTTATACGCCAAGACGGTTATACAACAAAGTAGGAGGAGGGAGAATGGCGTTTTATCCTAAAATGACACAGATTTCTGCTTTTTCTCGCTACGGAATTGAATCAGCGGTAGCTTTCTCGCTGGTGCAAGGAGGCAGCACCCACTGCTCGCTCCTTGGAGGGGAGAGAGGGCGGTTTGTGGTGCGGTTGAAAGTGTCGAGCTTCGGTACTAATTTGTCAGCGGGGACCAGGAGTTTTCTCCGGGTGTCCATGCACTTGTTGTCCAGCAGCAGGGAATTGGCTTTGTAGCCCATGTCCGTCTGAACACGGTGGAGTTGTCTGTAAAGAGCGTCCAAGGCGTTCCTGGGAAGAAGCAAGAGGTGAGAGGAGTTGGGCTCAAACACTCCGTTCCCTTCCCAAGTTGGACAGGAAACAACCCAACTTCCCACTGTCTGGCAGCAGAAAGAAATCCCCGCGCAGCATCGGCCTCTGCACGAAGAATGAATGTGGGGGATGTTTCAGAAAGAAAGAAATTCTTTGCTGTGAGGGTGGTGAGACACTGGAACGAGGTGCCCAGAGAAGCTGTGGCTGCCCCATCCCTGGAGGGGTTCAAGGGCAGGTTGGAGGGGGCTTGGAGCAACCTGGGCTGGTGGGAGATGTCCCTGCCCAGGGCAGGGGGGTTGGAAATCCATGATCTTTAAGGTCCCATCCAATTCATTCTGTGATTCTGGTCGCACAGCAGCAGGGCTGTTTGGGGCTGTGAACAGCAAGGACACACGTTGCTCCCGCAGAGACGTGCACCAGCCCAGAGCAGCTCTTCTGTTTCTCTATTTTTCATCCTTTTTTTTCCTCTTTCCTTTTTGGAACCGTCTGTGCCTGGTTGGAGTCAGAGTCAAGCAGGGGCCATGGGAATCCCATTGACCCTCCCACCACACAGACCTCTCCTGCTCCCCACCCAGCCCAAAGACTAGTTCCACAGACACCAGCTCCAAAATGCCCCTTCTGGGTGTGTGCCACGTCCAGGGCTGCATGCAGCCGTGTCCCTCATGTGGGCAATTTCACTGAATTTTAGAGTTGGAAGGGACCATAGAGATCATCTAGTCCAACTCCCCTGCTGAAGCAGGATTGACTAGAGCTAGAGCATGTTACTCAGGAGCATCCAGGCGGGTCTTGAAAATCTCCAAGGAAGGGGACTCCACACCCTCCCTGGGCAGCCTGTTCCAGGGCTCTGCCACCCTCACAGTGAAGAAGTTTCTCCTCATATTTGAGTGGAACCTCTTCTGTTCCAACTTGTGCCCGTTGCCCCTCGTCCTCTCACTGGGAACCACTGAAAAGAGTCTGGCTCCCTCCTCCTTCAACCCTCCCTTGAGATACTTGTAGGCATTGATAAGGTCTCCCCTCAGCCTTCTCTTCTCCAGACTAAAGAGGGCTGCTGGGCTGCTGCTCTGCAGGGGCAGGAGACTTACTGGGACTCTGCCAGCTTCTGCCTGAGCGCGCGGATCGATCCCTCCAGCTCGTGGACCTCATCCGTGAGCCCGTACTGGACCTGCGAGGTGGGGAGGGACAAGGGCACAGCATTAATGGGGCTCAAGTGTTGTTTCACAGAGGCCACGGTTCTCTCATGCCCCTTCTAGCCCAGTTATGACATTTTTTTTCATTGCTGTAGCTTGGTGACAGTAGGATCCATTGCTCAGCCCCTCTGTGGTTCTCTCCAAAGTGCACCCACATTTCCAGACCCCTGCATGCCCCCCTCCTGCTCAGTTTCCCCCCTGTCCCTCCTCCAGGGAGGTACCTGATCCCGACAGAGCTCCATGTTGGACCGACACGTGCGGGTCTCCAGGCGGGTGTGGGCCACTTTCAGATCTTGTATTTTCCTTCGAAGATCTTCCTCCAAGCGTCGGATGTCCTCCTCCATCTCAGCAATCTCCTCCAAGGTCTAGAGATAAGAGACACGTATCAGGAGTGGACACAGACTGGAGAACAGCCCCCCTGCGTCCTGGGATTTTACTGGGCTGGGAATGGGCTTTAAACAAGGGCTGGTGGCTTCCGAGGACTGAACCCCTCTGTTCAAACTGGGCTTTTCCCATGGACCAGCCATGGTGCTGCTGCTGTTTTATGGCCACAGCAGTTGAGCCCAGGGGTGAAATAAACAGCCCAAAACCTGGCACTGCTGCCGGGAAATGCCCGAGCAGCAACTGTGATGGCAGAAGGAGGTAGGATGTTGGATGGTGCAAGGATCATACATGTGCCACTTCACAGCTCTCATGTGGAAACCAGGCTGGGCCAAGCAGCTTTCCACGTAACAAACAGCCTTTTGGATTCAATTCCCACCCAAGGTTGTGTTTGATAACCAAGGAAGCAACATTTACATTCTTCTCCTGCCATTTCAGCTCATCATAGGCTCTGTCCAGGTCTCTAATCCTCTTGCGCAGGGCGAACTCTGTGGCCACACGCTGAGCCTCCAGCTCGTTGTTTGTCTGAGGAGAGAACAGGCCCCAGTCACTCACCTTGAGATGGTGTCTCCCTCTCTGCTCTTTGCTGAGAGGTTGGGACAAGCCCAGGAGCAAATCCAGCTGGGTTCTGGCTGCTGCCCTGTGTGTGCAGGTCACACACTGCCCTGAGGCCAGGGGCAATGGACAGGTTTGTGTCTTCCAGGTGTCTGAGGCTGCTGCAAGCTCCACAGCGTAACCACGCTCCCCTCTCAAACCAGGAGGGCAGGTGCCCTCAGAGAGACCCCTGGGCTAGTGCTGCCTCCTCAAAGGTTGCCTTCCCCCGGCTGCAGCACAGCCCACCCTCCATCCAGAACTTCTGCAGCACTGATTCCCATCCAAGGACTGACTTACCTGAGCGATGGTGAGCTGTGTTGCTTCTCGGAGCAGAATGGAGGCTTTCATTTCTGCCTCAGCACGCTCCTTGTTACACTGGCTGTACCGTTCCCACGCGTCAGACGTAACGGATCTGGGAACAAACCGGTTTTCAGTTCTGAAAGTTAAGTCCAGTCTTTGCAAGACAGTTCAAAAGGAACCACCTGCTGCAGGCCGAGAAGGCTTTTGTGCAGCACGAAACAATTCAGGAATTCTGGAGGTCACATCCTGTCTGATCTCCTCGCCGCAGCAGCTGGAGATGGCTACCCCACGGCTACCCCATGGCTCCTGCACCGAGCCCAACATCTGCTCAAAGCAGGGACGAATCCAAACCCTGCTACCAAACACCACGTGAGAATGTGCAGCATCTCCCCAGAGATACCACACTTCCTGCACCGAGCCCAACATCTGCTCAAAGCGGGGACGCATCCAAACCCTGCTCCCAAACACCACGTGAGAATGTGCAGCACCTCCCCAGAGGCCAGTACCACAGCACTCACTGAGCCACCTCCAGCCACACGCCAGGGAGGCAGGGCAGATAGCTTCTCTGGTTTTACTGTGACAATTCTGATAACTCCCAAAGTTCTATGGCTTTACAATTCAAGAGACGCAACAAATCCCAGCAGCCACCTCCTGTTCTGAGCTCCCTCCAAAACTGCACCATCAAGCCAGGACATTGGATGGAAGGAAGAAGCAACCCAGGGCTCTTTCAAGCACCAGCAGAGATATGGCCACACAAGGGCAGGCTCTTTCCTTACCCGTTTGGGACCCGGGTTGGGTTGACCTTGAAGGAGATGTTGGGGGAGTTCACGCTGAGGTCTAAGCAGTTGCGATCTATGTCCAGTGCTTCCACCTTGTCCCGATGGTCACTGCTCAGCTGCTGGCGAGCCTCCTGCAAGAGGCTGAAGAGCAGGGCTGGATTAAGCAGGGAACACACAGAGGGGGGAGGCACCTCTCAATTTCCAAAGCTTTCACCACTACCTAGGTCAACTTTTTAAAGTGCTCTGCTCAGCAGTGCCCTGGGGACTGAGCTGCTGCCCTCCTGCAGTGGGGCAGTGACCCACGAGCAGGGGCAAGAGGCTTTAATGCCTCCAGTCCAAACCCGTGCCATTCTCCTCACCATAACTGTTCGAAGCCTTCGTGCACCTTCTGCTGCAGTTCTCTCTTGGCTTTTTCTATCACCTTCACCTCCTTGTGCAGCTCTTCGCTCACAGGGTCCCTCACCAAATCGATGGCACGGCGGCTCTCCCGGAACGTCAGGCACTCGATGGAAACATCCAAATGCAAGTTCTTTGCCTGGAGTGCACACTCTGCTGCTTCCTTCACCTGCAGGAAGAAGCCAGCTGGGTGTGGGAGGGGTCTCCTTCAGGGATGGGAGGAAGAAAGGAAAGGGAATCCATGGAAACCCTCATTAAGAGGGCCTCGCACTGCCTGTCTTTGCAGTTCCAAAACCTTTGAGCAAGTCTGGAATGAAAATGGCGAGAGCCAAATACATTAGTCCTTTACATCTGCTATTTGCATTGGGAGTCACACCTCACTGGGGCCTAATGCCTCCTGGAGCAGCAGCCTCTGAGCTTAGAACTTAAAGAATCAGAGAGATGTCCTACTGCTGTTCTCTAAAAATCAAACATTTTTGAACGATGGTATTAGCGTATTTCTCATTATCCTTCACTGCTTTAAAAAAAAACCCAAAACCCACCCAAAACCCCAAAGGTGAGTGTGCTGTACACAGCTCCATAAAACGGTGTGGCTCAGCCAAGAACGCAGTGGCTTGGCTTTCCAGGAAGTCATTGCATCAGGTCTGGATCTCAGTATCCCTGCAATAAACCCCCCTTAAACTCCAGATGGGCTTGCCCATTGCAGAAGAGAAGCCTCAATTATTTAACATCCCATGTTGAGAGTGGAAGTTGATTTCCAGCCATCTGTCTTCCCAACATACTTTGGCTAAAGCATCGATTTCCGCATCTATGTCTGCGAGGCATTTGTCCAGGGTCTCTTTCCATCTGTTCAGGCTGCTGATACGCTCACCCAGGCGCGTTCGGTTGTCGTGCTCATCCCATTTTGCCTGCAATTAGAGGAGAAACGCCATTATTTTTTTTTTTAAATTGCACTTACAAATCTTGCTGAAGCTTTTCCCTGTTTTCAGGATTGACTGACCCCTCACAGGAATATAACACGTTGCCATTTGGTCTGTGCTGTTCTCTAAAAATCAAACATTTTTGAACGATGGTATTAGCGTATTTCTCATTATCCTTCACTGCTTTAAAAAAAAACCCAAAACCCACCCAAAACCCCAAAGGTGAGTGTGCTGTACACAGCTCCATAAAACGGTGTGGCTCAGCCAAGAACGCAGTGGCTTGGCTTTCCAGGAAGTCATTGCATCAGGTCTGGATCTCAGTATCCCTGCAATAAACCCCCCTTAAACTCCAGATGGGCTTGCCCATTGCAGAAGAGAAGCCTCAATTATTTAACATCCCATGTTGAGAGTGGAAGTTGATTTCCAGCCATCTGTCTTCCCAACATACTTTGGCTAAAGCATCGATTTCCGCATCTATGTCTGCGAGGCATTTGTCCAGGGTCTCTTTCCATCTGTTCAGGCTGCTGATACGCTCACCCAGGCGCGTTCGGTTGTCGTGCTCATCCCATTTTGCCTGCAATTAGAGGAGAAACGCCATTATTTTTTTTTTTAAATTGCACTTACATATCTCGCTGAAGCTTTTCCCTGTTTTCAGGATTGACTGACCCCTCACAGGAATATAACACGTTGCCATTTGGTCTAATAGTCATCTACGCAAACGGAGAGTACAGAAAACACCACGAGATGCAACGGATGCGAGAATCACACCCAGGGATTTCACGACAGAGGATTTCTGGATTTCTAGAGAAAAGGAGGCTCCGGGGAGACCTTATAGTGGCCTTTCAATATCTGAAGGGTGCCTATAGAAGAGCTGGGGAGGGACTCTTTGCCAGGAAGGGTAATGATAGGACAAGGGGAAACAGTTTTAAATTGGAAGAAAAAAGATTTAGATTAGATCTCAGGAAGAAATTTTTTACTATGAGGGTGGTGAGACACTGGAACAGGTTGCCCAGGGAAGTTGTGGATGCCCCATCCCTGGAGGGGTTGAAGGCCAGGCTGGATGGGGGCTTGAGCAACCTGCCCTAGTGGGAGGTGTCCCTGCCCAGGGCAGGGGGGTTGGAACTCGATGATCTTTGAGGTCCTTCCAACCCAAACCATTCTATGATTCTATGACAGTGAACATGCATCATCGCACATGGGTTTACAGGAAGTAAATGTACTTTTTTAGCAGGTTCTGTAGAGGTAAAGCCTTCTTTTATTCCCCCATCCACACATCCATCGCACATGGGTTTACAGGAAGTAAATGTACATTTTTAGCAGGTTCTCTAGAGGTAAAGCCATCTCTTATTCCCTCATCCACACATCCGGATCTAGACACTCTCCCATGCTCCTTAGCCCACAATTCTGACAAGCCCGGGAGCAGCTGACCTGCCAGAAGCCCCACCTGGTTGTTGGTTTCGTTGCGGAGAACTCTCCCTTCCTGCCGGACTCGGTGGGAAGTGGAGCGCTGGCGTTCGGCATCGGCCGAGATGAGGTGGGAGTTGGTGTGCCAGTCCGGCACGGTGTACCGCTGCCCCGGCTTCTCACTCAGCGTGGCCATCTTGCTAAACAGGTGGCTAAAAGGGAGCGGAAGATTTTCGTGTTTATTCATGGAAATACACCAGAAATGGAGACGCAGCCACAAACCAGAAAGCTCTTCAAGAGACAAGCAGCTTGGACAAAACAGCTGATTAGATTACTGATGGTGCTTTTGTTCCAGCTGGGTAGGCTCAGCCCAGGGCTGTGGTCCCAGGGGACCCGGGGCTTTGCAGGAACGGTACAGGTCGCAGCCATCTTCCTCGGTACCCAGCACATCCCTGCAAAACCAGCAGGAATTGCAGAGACCACTCAACAGGATCGGAGCAGCTCCTGGGGACATGGCAGGTCCCAAAAAACCCACAGTCAGGGGGATTTCCAGGGCAGTTTCCCTGGCTCTGGTACACCCCATGCCTGTCCCCCAGTCCTGGGCACAGGCAGCTGGGACAGAGCTCCCTGAGCGCAGCCACCTGCCCCAAATGCCACTGGGGCTGAGAAGCTGGACAACTCCAGAGGGAAGGAAGCTCTGCGGGCAGGACTGGGGGCTGCAGAGCCAGAGGGAAGGCGCGGAGGGCTCAAGGGGTGATCCCACAGGGGGAAAAAGGAGGAACAGGGAGGGGGCTCAGCCCCGAGCTGGGAGGGCCCCTCACCCTGGCTGGGCGCAGGCAGCCCTGAGGGGGGGGATCCAGTTCCTCTGTGCCTGGGCACTGCTGCTGTCTCGGGGCTTGTACTGATCCCTGGCCCTGCTTCCCCGGGGCCTGCCCTCCCTGTCGGCTCGGGTCGTGGGGCGACACGGCCGGGCCTGGCTCCCCTCACGGGCCGGGCCTGGTCCCGCTCCCCTCCCGGGCCGGGCCTGGCGCCCCTCACCGCCTCAGGGCCGGCCCCGCTCCCCTCACGGCCCGGCTCCGCTCCCGTCCCTCTCCCCTCACCGCCCGGTCCCGGCCCGGCCCCTCTCCCGTCACCTCTCGGGCCCGGTCCCGCCGCCTCAGGGCCGGTTGCCAGGCACGCGCGGGACCGTTGCCAAGCGGCGGCGCGCGCGGTACCGGGCGGTGGGGGGGTGAAGTCTCTCCCTCCGCCCCCCCCGGGGGTCCTCGGCCTGTCTCTGCCGCCGGGATTAGTGGAAGTTACAGGGCAAACTGCGGCAAGGCAACACTAAAACCTGTTATTAAAAAATAATAATGAAATGAATCAACCCAATAACCCAAGGGAATGGGGCCTTGGGGAGGGGGCCGGGGTCCTGGGCCCGATGCGACCACCATGATCCCACCACGGGCAGGAGGATTTGCAACACCGGCCCTGCTTTCTCTCCCCCCCTTCTTTTTCTCCTTTTCCTTTCTCTCCCCCCCTTCTTTTTCTCCTTTCCCTTTTTCTTTTCTTTTCTCTTTCCTATTTTTTTTCTCTTTCTTTTAAACCCCCACCTTTCAAGGGCATTATATCAAACCAAACAGAAAAAAGCTGGAAAGTAAAATCGTTTTCCCCATGTGATGCCACCCACCTCCATCCCCATCCCCCCCCCAGGACACAGGGCTTTGGGAGCCAACCCAAAAAATAATAAAAAAAATAATTAAAGGTATCACAAGTGCATTTCAAAAAAAATTTATTTTTCAAATGAATACGGTTCGTTTACAATACACCCAACTGGATGGCATCTAACGCCAGCAGAGATGGGATGACTGTGGTGTGTACTATACAGTCGCACAGAGGTTACAGATGCCTACGAGAGGGGAGGGACAGTGAAAGGAGCTGACAATTTTACTGTGCTGGAAATAAAGCAACTCTTGCAACAGGTAGAAAATTTTGGCAAGAACAATTTTCTGTGGGAAGGGAGGAGAAGGGGCAGAGGACACCGCTTCCGCGCAGCGAGGACACCTCAACACACAGCCCCCCAAACCCCCCCTCCGCCCCCACGGCCGCAATACAAATAGGCACACATGGTCGAGATGGTTAAGTAAAAATAAAGGCTTTTTACCACTTTGTTTGCCATCCGTCTACAATCTGATCTGTGCAATGCCTCAAGTCACAGCTCTCACTTTATTCTCCAAACAATTCCCTGCTGCTTTGAACCCCCCCCCCCGGTACCTGCAGGGTGGGAACACCTTCCAGCTCCTGCCTGAGCGAGGGGGACACCAAACCCGGGGGGAGCAGCGACGGCGTGTGAGAAGGAGCAAGATGTACACACAGCAGGGAATCTCCATCCACCCGGCTGATTTGTTTGAATTTTATTCGGAAAAAGAATCCCGAACAGCACAATATTTTCTTTTTTTTTTTTTTTTCCCAATTTAAACATATGGTATTAAATCCGCAAAGTTTATACGCAGGACATTGCTCCCAGCAGTCTCCTAAAGGAATCCAGCTCGATGGCTGGCAATGTTATGGCACACACCACGCCACCCGAGCCACTCTCATACCCATATTGGCTCAGAGCAGGATGCTACCCATCACCGGGAAAGCTCCAAAGCCATACCTGCTGATAGACCACGTTCTCATCCATGGTCACACGCCTCCAGGACACCTCAACAGCCTGGTGTTGCCCCACCACAAGCAACAGCTCTCTTAATCCACCAAGGGTGACCTGGGGCAGCAGAACTGCTCACACCAAGGGATGAAACGAGAATATAAGAGAGAGGAGAACCTGCACCCTGCCAGCCCAGCGCGTCACCAACCCACACCACGCAGACCCGGTCAGGGCTGGGAAACGAGCCTGAAAAAAAAAATAAATCAACATTTCGGACCAAAAACCTCGTTCTGCCATCTCTATTGCTGTGCTGAGGTTCCCTGCGAGAAACCGCCTGCAAAACAGACACAAAACGCAGCTTTCTAGAAGCAGGTTTTTCTACAGGAAAACAACGTGAAGTCATCTCAAGGCGAGATTCGATACCGAGAACTGCAGGAATGAGAACGTCTCACTGAAGAAGAGAAATCAAGTCCAAAGAAAACTAAAAACTAGAGCCACAGGAGGAAGGTGATGTACAAAACCCAGTACCCAAAAGAAGCCGTTCTTCACCGCGAGGCTGCCAGGAGTCAGAAGACAAACTTCATCTCCAGCAGCCTTCCCCTCGCCCAGTTTTTTTTGGCAATCAATTTTCCTCACCAGTTAAAGAGCACTGCTCGAGTTTCCGCTTTGCTGGCAACACCATCAGGGTCAAAAACTTCAAAAGGTTCTTTAAATTTAGTGTTGCTCCAGTGGGTATTGCTCTGCTGTTGTGTCTGAGTGAACACTATCTGGCAAGACACGGATTTTCTATCAAAGGAACCGGTTGTGAATATATTTAAGAGATTTGCAAGTGTAAGCGTCACGAAAGTTTATTAGTAACTATTTTAATTGCTAATCGTTGCACACCTGTACTTAAATGGGTTGTGGACCTATGATTTATGGGCTAGCACAGCCCTGAACTCAGCATACAGTCAGTTGTCTGTGTTGCTAGATAGTATTACAGTAGGTATTAATTCTCCAACTGCCAGACGTGTTTGAGAGACCTATGTCATTCTCAGCAATGAAAAAAAAGCCACCAACTTTCATTTAAATAAACTCGCCCTCTGACAGCGTTTCGCAACACATGGATTATCTGAAAAGAAAGCAGCAGGTAAACATCACGGGACCCATCCCAAGGGCTTCCTAGGGCAGAGCCCCCGGGATGGGAAGGGAGAGCCCAGGCTCACGGCAGGGACCGGCTCCGAACAGAGCCCTGTGAACTGAGGACACGCATTTGTGAGGAGGTGCACGGGTTTGTAGAGTTTAGCACTTCCACAACACGGCTCATCCTCAGAACACCAACTAGTTAGCTCTCGTAAGGCGAAGTGAATCATCATAAACATTTTTCTAGACAGGGTGATAAAGTGAGGCAGAAATCCTTTACCGCGGTCAGAGAGGGAACCCATCCCAGAGCCAGCGCCGATCCCAGAGCTCCTGGCTGGGTAACTCACCAGCATCTCAATACTGCATAAAATATAACCTATTTGAAAAGCTTTTCCGTTTTGGTCTGAAAAATCCACTTGTTTTTTTTTTTAGCAGCTTTAAGCCCAAATTAACATCTAAGACACAGGCATCTTTTGTGCAGCACAGTCTACAGCACCCACAGTCAGAGGAGAGGGACCTGCTCTCCCTGGAACCACCCCGGACCCTTCCCACACCCAGGAGACCACGCGATTCCCTCCGCAGACATCACCACCCTCAGCTGCTGGCAAACTGGGTCTCGAGGAATTATCTGAGATGTTTAATCCTCACCTCCATGTTCCCACCCAAGCAGACCCCTGCGCTGCTCCCCGACATTCACTGGACAACATTCCCCGTGTCCTTAACAGCCACCACAGGGGGAAGGGGAGAAGCGACGGAGTGTATGGAAAGCTGCAGGAGCACAGTGAAGAGTGGAGACATTACTGGACAGGCAACATTCAAATAAAGGCAGAATTAATGATTCTCATTAGATAGAGAAACATATCAAGGTTAAATTTTATTTTAAAAATTGCAAGTCTACCAGGAAGTATGTTTATTTGATGACATTACTCGCCAGAAACCACTTATTTTAAAAGCCTCTCCTCTCTGGGTAGTTCCAATTTGCAAATAATTCGGGGCTCACTTTGATTAAGTCATTCAGCACAAACCCAACTCTGTTCTGACCAAGGACTTCACGCTTTAAAAACAGCTCAAGAAAACCACCAACCACACTATCCCAACGCAAAGGCAAGCCCTCCCAGCTCCTATTCTTGATCAGAAAAAGGCACATACTTGCTCTCACTGAGTTCGAGTCCCACACGAACACTTCAGGACACCTAAGCTAAACGTTTGACCTCCCCAACAATTTCCCTGAAGGGCTGGAGCTGAGCAGAGCTCACCTGACACTCACCCAGTCCTTTATTTCCACGGGTGGTTGCTCTCACCACCAACACATCGAGCTGGTTCACCTTCTCCACGGCCACGGCATCGTGGGACCAGGGAGGTAGATCAGAGCTAAGGAAGAGCAGGGCAACTGCAGTGCTACAGCAGAATTAACTACCACTGCCTGCTGCTGTGAGAGCTAAGGAAGAGCAGGGCAACTGCAGTGCTACAGCAGAATTAACTCTACCACTGATTGCTGCTGTATGTCCCGGGAGCCAGGGACACCAGAGCCTGAACCACATGAAAACTGCCACCAGGAATGTGTCAGAGCATCCACGTCTCACGGGGGGGTCTGGTATTGCTCACAAAACCCCTGGCTCCACTGTTTCAAATAGCACCGATCTACTGGAACGTGGATCTGCTCTGAACCAAGTAAGGTACTGCAAAGGTCTGGACAAACACAGTTTGATTTAATGATCCTGCAGTTACAGGCACCGTCACCTGCTTCTCGGCACCATCCTTGCAAGAGGTGAACAGGCACTCTTAAAAAACATGGGAAAATGCTTTTCCCCTCCTGTATTAGTCTCTGAAGTAGTCATGTGGGGTCTTTTGGAGTAAACTGTGGATCCAAAGAGACAGGTTCACAAGGCTCTAGCAGCATGAGATTTTTTTTTTTTTTCAGTATATTCAGCTTTTTCAATATGAAGACAAGTTTCCTCCTCACATTTTTTAGGGCTTTCTCCTCTTAGTTTAATAGCACAGTCACCACCACTCCTCCTCCTCCTCCTCAAACACACAGCTGAGTCGGCTCAGGTTTAGGATTGATCCCAGCACAATTTACTGTGAATCGCATCAATTACAGCAAATCCTCAAGCTGTGTCAGGAAGGAGGATGAATTAAAACTATCCAGGTTCACTAGGTTGTTGGTGGGGTTTTTTTGGTTTGTTGTTTGGGGTTTTTCTTTGTTGTTTGGTTGTTGTTTTTTTTTAATTTGAAGTATTTTAATAGAGTGTCTACGTATTAGCTTGTATTTAAATTGGATATTTTAAAGCATCGTGCAACAGAAACACACAGAACATTCTTCTACCGTATGAAATGCCTGTGTTACAGTTCACCACCTTCTAAACCTCACCAGCTCCAGGGTTAGCTAAATGCAGACAGAAAATAAACTAGTTGATGGGCAAGGGAG